GATGGAGCTTTTTGAAGCAGTGCAGGTTCGGCACATACTTGAAGAACTTGCAGACCCATAAGTATGTCATCACCCTTCGGATGCTGGTGGGAGTTAACTGACATAGAGAGATGTTGTAATGGATCAGCAAGTCTCGGACGAATACGTCCAAAGGGAACCTCAGCCCGTACTGAAGCTGTCTAGTGTACACCCCCACATACCCCGGGGGTGGACGATGGATTCTATCGGATGCCGAGGGCATTCGGCACCAATACCCATCAGCTTCAAAAATGCCGTAATGCAACTCAATTTGCTCGGCAAATCGATATTGATCGGCATTCTCCACCCACCATGGGTAGGGGCGGTTCTTTATCATGGCCGAAGCAACTTCGGCATTCTCCCATTCTGAAAACCCGGGGAGGATATCCCAAAGGACAGCGGGAACTTCATCATCCCGTCCAGAAGCGCTCGGCTCCTCCGTTCTCTGAGGAGGAGCCGAGGAAAGGGGAGTCGCCCTAATCCCTTCAGCAGGGTCAGACTCTGGCCTTTGTCCATTCCAGGTCCCAATCCTGTTCCTAGGATCGGGAATCGGCCTTGCTCTTCTTGGAGCACGGGCTCTACCTCTAACTCCTCTTGCCATTGATTATTTCGAAGAAAAAAGTCGAAAGAAAAGGGGAAGGAGTTCGAATTCGAAGAAAAATAAACTGAAATCAAAGGAATTTACCTTAATCTGAAGCGAAAGTTGCCGATTTACGAGTTCGTAGTGGCAAGTCTCAATTTCTAAGCTTAATGCTCGGGGAATTTGCGAAGTTTTGATGCGGGTTCTTGGTTTCTCTCTCGAGAATTCTGGGTTTGTGTTGGTGAATAAGTGAGGAGAGATGACGCGCCTCTGTTTATATCTCCAGGAATGGGATACGAGGAGTCTGCGTTTTAATTTCTCTTAAATACTCCACTAAGTAACCGTTAAACACATGATCTTGTGATTAAACTGCCCATTATCCGTCCAACTTCCACAATCATCTGCCTTAACCGTCGTTATCTCATTAATTACGGTTTAAATTCAAATTTTTGGATTAATTAAATCATTTACTTCCCTCCTTTTCTGAATTAAATCAAACCCGACCCGTCATCCTTCCAAATCGGGTCTGGGGGGCAAGTTGTTTGGGTCCAATTTAGTCCAATTGGGCCTAAGCACTAAATGATCCAATTAAAAGCCCAAGGTCAAGGTTCAACTCTCCAATTGTGCTAAAGTCAAAGGTCAGCCCACAAAGCAAGCCAATTGGGCTAAGGCCCATCCTCTCCATGTATGATGAGGTATAAAAGCCATCAATATTGATACATTCATAGGCTGATTCATTCATAGATTCATATGTTCATTCATATATTCTGATATATTTCATAAAAGCCTCAAGCAACAAACTCTCTTGCATAGTGTCCTCTTCTTACACATTGTACTGACTTTAGCATCGGAGGGGCCTTCCTCGGCAACACCCCCGAGGCTAGTTTACGTGTGTTTACTGTGCAGGAAACCTTCGGCCCAACATAACTTGGACCGAATCCAACCTTCTCCATTTCAGCGGACCTTCGGCAAGGTCCCATTGTTTTCACCCGAAACATCACCATATAACAATTTCACAAAAACAAAGAAATTGTAAGTTGTGATCTACCCTCCAGTAGTAACAGGTGTTCTTCCATCCTCCACTTAACTTAATCGTGTAATACTGGAATGTTAATCATTTTCACCGGAAAAACCCGATGACTTTTGCTGTTGCTGTTGTTGTTGTTGTTGTTGTGCATGAATGAGACAGAGTCGGAAGAGGAACAAAGAGAGAGAAAGAAAGAGACGAATTGATCGAAAATGAGTCGCTTAACAAGCTTCCTCTTAGCTGGGATGACACTATTCACTTTCTTGGGCTTCAAGTAAAATGTGATAGTTTTTCCCTCCATTTTTGTTGGTTGTTTAGAAAAAAAAAAGAACAATTAAGAGGAAGAAAAGAAAGAGAGGAGAGAGAAAGAGTAAGAAAGTGAGGAGACAGAAAGAGAAATGAAGTGAGAGATAACTAGATAAGAGAGGTGTGCACATATTTATATAGAGAGACAAGGTTGACTGACAAAGATTTCTCTATTTCCTTTTGTTTAATCTTTATTGTATGCATTTAACTAACCCTTACTTTAAAAAATACAACACTTTGCATTTTGCACCCAAAAAAAGAGATTGCACACTATAATTTGGACAGTTGATTGCTATGGTTGTTGACGCTAGCAATTTTTTCATGGTTGATAATTAATTTAAGGGTAATGCTATATATAGCCCTTAGGGCTATATATAAGCATTAAATATACTCTTGGAAATTGAATAAAATTAGGAATTCATGATAAAAACACGCGTAAATCAGTGTAATTAGTGTTTATATTTTCATGATTTCTTAACTTTTTACGATTTCAAGTGTAAATTTAAATGTAATACTAATACTAAAAGGAATGACGGTCCATGAAAATGAAGGTACAAGGAAGGTGCAATGGACAGGAAGGGTGGTGTAAAAGTCACACATACTAGTGTGAAACTTTGCAACGGACAAAGCTAACATAAGTATGTAGAACTAATTAAGCGACCACTGTAATGTATATGTGTATAATAAACCTCGTTAATGAGAATGAATGTCATTGTAATTCGACCAGTAGAGTAAGACACTGTTTATTTCGCTTTAATTTTGTTAAACTGAACAATTTTTGCGGAACTTAAAATAATTTTACTAATCTGAAATTATTTACTGATTTTCTATGATAATTTTTTCTTTAAATTTACTAATTTTTACTGAACTAAACTTAATTTTACTGAATATTATTTACTTAAGATGAAGTGAACATGAGTAAGCATCCCAAAAATCCATAAATTCTTAATAACGTAATAAAACATAATGAAGAGAATTAGAGAAGCGAAAGTTTAGAAAAGAGGTTGCAATGAACAAGACGTTAGAATGATACTTTCCTTGTTAAATTATCCTTAAATTATTCTAATTACTAGATATGGAGTATATCAATACTAATCAAACATGTCACAAGTGAGATGACGTGAAGGAATTAACATTTACCTAGTTACCTAGTTTAAATTTCTTACAAATGCATTCCCGTTAATTTTATTTTAAAATTTAAATTTTGCATCAGTCTCCTACGAGTAATATTTTTTTTTTTTTTTACACATCTATGCTAAAAAATGCTACTTTTATTTTAATACATCTCTTTATAGCTAAATGAAAATTTGGCATGAACAATTTACAAATTTAATTAGCACCGTCTACATCACAATCACATTTTTTGGATTACATTTACCTCAAGAGTTTTATCTTTTTTTCCTTGGTTTGATAAAACATTTTTTGGATGATAGGAACATATTCTATTCAATTTATTTCAGATACTTATTACTTAATAAATTTAGATCAGATCACACTAGATCGGAAACATTCATATAAGACCAGATCAGAACTTTTAATTACATTTACTTACTACTAAATATTGTTAATTGTGTATTACAAAAAATCATATTTGGAAAATTTATAATGTAAATAAATCTAACAAAATCCATTTTAATATTGTTTTTCTTTATAGATTAGTATTAAAATGCGGTTAAAATTTAGTCAATTATTAAATCAAATTAGACCAAATCAAATAATAATTAATTCTAGATTGAAATTTGCAAGAGATGTAAATGTTTGCCAGTAGTTTGATTGACATCATACATTCATACGATCCCATAAACCTTACCAATGGGCAATTGTGACAACATACATCATTAATTAATTATGTATAGATGGTTTAAAAAAAAAAAAAAAATTGTATAGATGTACTTATTTTGCAAATGTGTCTTTCGTCCTAAGCTTTTATTTATTTATTTATTTTTTACACAGATGTGTATTTGTGTGTGTGTTTTTTTTTTAATTAACAGATATGTGTATTTGTTTTTAAATGTGGTGATACCATTCATTAAGGAAATCTTCTCTTTCCGAACAAGACTTTTCAATACTCCGTAATATTCTATTTCTCCACATGACGTCATCGTCATCGTCACCGTATTATCCACATGCTAGCTTAATGTACTACCTCCGGTCCAAATTACTCGCAACTTTAGGCTATTATTTGTGAGATATAAAATATTCCAAAGTTGCGAGTAATTTGGACCGGAGGTAGTGTAAGATAATGTAAAACTCCTTCATTAGAGTGATTTCCATTGATCAATATTTATAGGGTTACAATGAGAAACCTAATCATATTAGGCTAAGATATGTATAGATATTAAAGATAATCTTATACAAAATATATCCTAAACCTAAGATGAGAATATTCTATGGATATTCTCTATCACACCCCCGCAGTCGGAGCGGGAGAAAATCGGATGCTCAGATTGAATCTGAATCACACATCGAGCGGTAATAAGGATAATATGGTAACCCATGATCAAAAGGGAAGTAGTAGACATGTGCCGGTGATGACGTTGAGAAGCAATAGGCACGACCTACGTAGAGTAGAGATAAGCACTGCTAGGCCGGAGGAGAAGGAGAAGAGTCGCACACAGACTTGGGCTAAGTTGCAGATCCAGAGAAGAAGAAGCTAAGGGATCAAACCATCATCGGGGAGAAGACACTACACTACTACGTGAAATCACAATTGAAGAAAAACAAATAAAATTGCGCAAGAAAAATATTAAATTCCACCGCTTGAAATTAATCAATTCTCAAAAGAGAAACCTAGGTAGCAAGAATCATTACTCCACAAAGATTCCAAGTGCTGCAACAATAAGAGAAGCCAACTTGATAACAAAAGAGATGTGCAAAAGTTGACCTTATTCTAGTATACCACCACCAAAACAAAATCTATGTGATTATGTGTAGAAAAACCAATGGGACAATGTAAGAATCATTGTTGGTCATGAGGAGGTGGAAATAGAGTGCGGCACATGGAGTAGGTTGGAAAAAATTGGTACTGCCAGTAGTGGAAGGCGGTAGTGTATGCGATTGCCACCAATGATGGAGGCGGCTTTGTTTCAGGAAGAGCCCTCTGTGTTTACTGGTGATAGATTACTAGTGGATCAATTCCCATACATTGCTCAGGAAGATTGGAGTCTTATCAACAGGCCTTTCGATGGCTGTGAAATAAAAAGGGCTCTTATGGGTATGAAAGCTTTTAAAGCCCCGGGTTCGGATGGCTTTCAACCTCTATTTTTTCAACGATATTGGGAATTAGTTGCTCCAATTTTGATTCGACTAGTTAAGGATGTGTTAGAGGGTGTTTCTTTCCCGGAGGGATTGAATGACGCTTTTCTAGTCCTAATTCCAAAGGGTGATACTCCTAAGAGGCCGAATCACTTTAGGCCGATTGGGTTGTGCAATATTACCTATAAAATTGTGACGAAGGTTATTGTAAACCGGCTTAAGCCTCTTTTGCCGAGTTTGATTTCTCCTACGCAATGTAGTTTTGTTCCTAAGCGTCAAATCACCGATAACATCATAATTGTCCAAGAGATGCTACATTCGATGAGACGAAAGCAAGGAAAATATGGATTGATGGCGGTTAAAATTGACTTCGAAAAAGCATATGATAGGCTCCATTGGTCCTTTATTCGTGAATCTTTGCTAGAGCTTAGACTTCCACAAAACATGGTTGATGTAGTCATGAGTTGTGTTTCTTCAGCTAGTTTGCAAATTCTTTGGAATGGTGAACCTACTTCCATTTTTGCACCTTCTAAAGGCATTAAGCAGGGAGATCCTTTATCTCCCTACCTTTATGTTATTTGTATGGAGCGTTTAGCTCATTTTATTGAGCATGAAGTTAAATTTGGAGCGTGGAAAGCTGGAAGGGCAAGTAGGAATGGGCCGGATATTTCGCATTTAGCTTTCGCTGACGACCTTATTCTCTTCGGTGAAGCTTCGGTTGATCAGGCTTTATGTATGAAATCGTGTTTAGATAAGTTCTGTCAAGCTTCTGGAAGTAAGGTCAGTTTAGATAAATCGTGTGTTTTCTTTTCTAACAACACTGATTGTGATATGAGGGTCTCAATTTGTAATACCTTGGATATGGATTGTACTCATGATTTAGGAAGGTATTTGGGGGTCCCAACTATTCATGGTAGGACTTCCAAACAAGATTACCAATCATTGGCGGACTTGGGCTTAGACCTGGTGGGTCAAGTGACTCACCAGGCCCAAAAAAAAATTTTAAGTTATTTTAAAAAAAAAATAAAAAATTAAAATCAGTTTTCCCCAAAAAAAACCAAACACGAATTCAGTTCAAGACTTCAAGCCCTAGCCTTCTTCAGTTCTTCTCTTCGCCATTGCCAATTCGCCTCTTCCCTTCAATCCTTCATCAATCATCTGCAACTCCAGTTCTTCACTTCTTCATCAAAGAGTAAGTTTGTAATTTTTATTGTTAATTTCTAATCTTCAATTTAATTCATTCTAATTAGTTAATTTTATTAAACTACAATCGCAATCTTCAATTTAATTCAGCCAATTCGCTATTTCGCTGTGCGGGCTGTGCTGCTGGCTGCTCCGCTGCTCGCCGACGCCTAGTCGCCTCAATCAGCGCCTGCCGCCTCCGGCACGGCAGTCCGGCAAGGTATGTTCATAGATAAAATCAATTGCAAGCTAGCAAGCTGGAAGGCAAAAACTCTATCTCTTGCTGGACGAAATACAGTTGCTCAGTCATGTCTTTCGTCTATTCCGTACTATACTATGCAATCCACAAAAGTCCCTAAAGCTGTATGTGATGAAATTGATAAGAAAACTAGAAGTTTTTTGTGGGGAGGAGACGGTGAGCATAGGAAAGTGCACCTTGTTGCTTGGGAGAGTGTGACTCGGTCTAGAAACGAAGGTGGGCTTGGTCTTCGGTCGATGAGACAAGATAATGTTGCATTCATGACTAAACTAGGTTGGAGGGTCCTTACCGAACCCGATGCTCTTTGGTCTCGTGTGCTCCGATCTAAGTATTGCAATGGGAAAGTGTGATATTGATATGTTCAAAAGGAAGCCTGACTCATCGAATGTATGGAAAGGGATTACTGAGAACTTGGATATCCTTAAAAAGGGAGTGAGTATGGCTGTGGGAAAAGGTGATAAGATTTTATTTTGGAAGCATAGATGGGCAGGGAAACTACCCCTAATTGATGTGGCGGATCCAACTCCTCCTGCTGCTATTCAAGATCTGCCTAATCGTGATTTTTGGGATTGTAACTCAGGGTGGAAATATGAGTTATTTGCAGATTGTTTAGAAGCAATAGAAGATGAAGAGGCTGTTGACTCGATTTTTTGGAACGGATCTTCCTATGGTGGATTTACATTAAATTCTGCCATCAAAATCATGCGTAACCAGGGGGATGATGCTGGAGAGTTTGCTAATATGTGGCGTAAGATTTGGAAAGCTCCTGTTCCACAGAGAATCAGAATGTTTCTTTGGCTTGCTGTGCGAGACCGTTTAATGTCTAATTCGAATAGATTTATTCGAAAATTGACAGATGTGGTAATTGTGGGATGGAGGAAACATTAGACCATATACTACGCAAATGCCCTGCTGCTACTTCGATTTGGAGAAAATTGGGATAGAGCAATCACTCTGTCCAAGCCCCTATATCTTGTACTGAGTGGCTGTTTAAGAATCTGGATGAAGGCAATTCGATGGTTAAATCAAATAAAGCTCAGCTCTTTATTGTTGCGTGTTGGTGGATTTGGCGATGGCGCAATGAGAGGGCCTTTTCTCGAGAGAGTGATATTCCAGTAGAGCAAGTTGCTTTTATTTTTGCCAGAGTAGGAGATATTAATCGAGCCCTGGTTAATCCGCTAAATTATGATGAAGAACATAATAGAAGAAGGGAAGAAATATTCATTCGATGGGAAGCTCCTAAGGTGGGTTGGGTTCGTTTAAATACGGATGGTGCATCAAAAGGTAATCCAGGGAATGCTGGAGCTGGGGGTCTGATTCGTGGCAGTGGTGGCAAATTGCATGAAATATTTGCTGCTAATTGTGGTGTTTGCTCTAACACCAAAGATGAGTTACTTGGGGTATTACATGGGCTTGCGGTGGCATGGAATGGGGGCCATAGATATGTGCAGCTTACGGTTGACTCGGAGGTCGTGGTCCGTTTGTTAGTCGAGCCTTGTCCGGCCAACTCTCCTTTTATTAATATCATCCGGAAGTGTAAAGCCATTATTTTGCGGCGGGGTTGGAAGGTGACTGTTAGTCATTGTTATAGGGAGGCAAACCGAGCTGCGGATTGGTTAGCTAACTTTGGTGTCAACTCTCCTCAAAAAATGTTGATCTTTGGAGCGGTCCCTCGGGATCTTCGTGCCGTTTTATTGGAGGACTTAAGTGGCGTTGCTATGGCTAGGCTCATTCCAAGAGGAAGATCTTAGCTTTAATTTGGTTTTAATTTTTCTATTTTAGTTTTTTCTGCTTTGCTTTTGCTTTTGTTATTTTAGCTTGTTTTGTCTTTGGGGCTTGCCCCTCTATTGCACCAAAAAAAAATGTACTAAATAGACCAAGTTTTTCCATAAAAAGGTATTGAGCCTATAAAAAGAAACCCAATTCACAAAAATTGTCCAAGATATTATTAATTCAACTTTCCAAATCATAACATGCTAGTTCTTACTAATTACTATCCATTCCAAATGTTGTTACACTATTACTACTTGCTTGTCCGAATTCTATCCATTATGAGAAAGGAATATGAACTCAAGCAGGGTAAACCGGTAAAAGCAGAGCCTTCGAGTTGCCCGACAAAAAAAAAACAAAATCAGGGTACAACAAAAACTTGGTACAATCTTGATCATGCACATTTTTAGTACAACATGTTACTAGTTCTCCGGAAAAACCTTATGATTGTTGTTGTTGTTGCTGCTATTGGCGCTGTTGTTGTTGTTGCCACTGCTGCTGCTGCTGCTGTTGTTGTTGTTGTCGTAGGAAACAGAGTTGGATGAAGAAGGGGAAAGAAGAAAAGAAAAGAAAGGAATTGATCGTATATTATATTATATTATATTATATTATATTATATATATATATATATATATATATATAAAGCTAAACTTTTAGACAGGTCACGAAATAGTGACACTTGACATTCTAACTTTTCGCCAAGTGTTTTTCGTCAAGTGTCGCGCCACCTTGGATAGATTTGAATAGATTCATAAGATAAAAAAAATTAGTTAAAAATTCTTTTTTCAATCAAATTAGGATAGAATTTTAGAATAAGATGGTTAGTTTAGAGTTTTATTTTCAATAAAATACCCAATAATAAACATATCATTAGGCCACAAGACAACATCGTATAGTATTTTAACTTTTCACCAAATGTCGTACCACGTTGGATAAATATAGATAGACTTTGTAGAAGAAAAAAAAAGTTAATTTCGAATTATTAATTAAATTGAATTATAATATAATTTTATCTTAAAATTCCATAAACAACCCGGACATCGCGCGCGCACACACACAGATATATATATATATATATATATATATATATATATATATATATATATATATATATATATATATATATAGAGAGAGAGAGAGAGAGAGAGAGAGAGAGAGAGAGCTCATGTAAGAACCCTCCTCTATATAAGAACTCATTATATATAAGAACTATTTTCAGCCATTAGATCTATTGAGATCTAACGCTCTACATTAACCCGGATCAAAATAATGGCAGTATTGTAATTAATGAAATTTTTATGGTATAATAGAAACTTTATAAAATAAGTCAGCTCTTTTTCTCTCTTTGGTGCAACATTTTTCTCTCTCTAAAGTTCTTACCCAATTTTGCAACTCTTGTTCAATTATTTAAAGTTTTTAAAGCAAGATTCATCAAATTGTTCATTTGAATTTGCTTGAACTCTCGAATTTTGTGCCAATTCTTCATAAATTAAGGTTCTCGTCAATATTTTTGCGATTTCTAAAGAATTTTGTTTTGGCGATTATAGGTTCGATTTTTTTTTTTGGTGATTTCTATTCGATTTCTATTTATTTTGTTCGATTATTTATCAGTTTGATTGTTCAATTTTTCTGCTCTAATTTTGATTTTATTTTGTTCGATTTTCTTTTTCGATTTTGAAGCGATTTTGATGCTAGTTTGTTCTCGGCTCTTGTTTTCTTTGTGTCTGAGGAATGTAACTGTACATGTATGTTTCAAAGTTTATTATGTATGTTCTTAATGTTCTCTCCATGTTCAAAAGTTTGATCTTTATGTTCTAAAGAGTTATCTAGCTTTGTGGTTGTTAAGCATTTTCTAACAAGGACTACGTAGTACAATAGTGTTGATGATATTTTAATGATTATGTTGCATTTATCGAATTATCAAGTCTAATTTTTCTGCGTTTGATTGAATTTTGAGTCTAATTTTCTACATTTTATTGATCGTGTGACTAAGTGTGTTTATTTTGAATTTCAAGTTTATCATATCTTATTTTGGATCCTAAAGTTAATCAAATATAGGCATCTTCTTCATCAATGTTCTTCAATCAAGTTAATTTCTAGCTCGTTGGTTAAATGTATGACCCTTCATTTCATATTTTTTTGAACTATAATTGATCATGTTCTAAATATTTGTGCACATGTTCTAAACTATTACGCAAATGTTCTAAAGTTATTCATGTTCTATTATATTTGGTGTTGTGAATAATGAACAATAAGCTTGTTTTTCTAAAGATAATAGTCTTAAAAATCCTCAAGTTGTACCTTCATTCAATCCCTATATATATATATCATTAACTTGTATCTTCTCTATGTGAGTTTTGTTGTAATTTACCAACTTGGTTCCTAGTGTGTCTTGCATCAAAGAGATAATGATGTGCTACTGATGACAATAGTCTTGACTTCTTAAGCTTTGATTAGAAGGAATTTTGGAGTATAGTTAGAACTAAGAACTGTTTCTTTGAGTCACTAGAGGGCAGTCATATGCTAGTAACCTGTTCTCACAAAGCTTGAGTTTCTTTGTAGGCTATAGTCCAAGAAAGTCATTAGTTGCATATATCCTTTTAAGTGATTGCATATAATATTTTACAGATTTGAATATGTATCAGGTAAGCACCAGTTAAGTTCACCACGGCACATTGAGCACACTGTGTTAAAGCTCCCTCAAATCACCAAGACAAGGAAAATGATCCTTCATTCATCTTTTGATCATTAAAACAAATGTCAATATTTTTATGAATTAGGATGCAAAGTAGCACCTATGAAATCTCTCCACCCTTTGGTTTGCGTATGTATATGAATCTTATATTTGTTAAAGAATTGTGCATTTGTATGTACTACTTAGTATCCCTACAAGGTTAAACTTGCATTGTGGTCAAATCTAACTGCAGAGAATGAGTTGCTTCATGCTTAAGGGTATGAAACTACAAATCCCTCACTTTGGCTTGTATGTAGTCTCAAATAGCTTTGTAGAGCAACATAGTACAAATGCTTTGCTCACTTGTTTACTAATTTTTTAAGTTCGAATGTTTTATATACATTAGCCTACTAGCTCAATGAGAGAGCATTGTGCAAATGCACAAAAGATGTGGGTTCGAATCCCACGTAGGTTCATTTGTCTAATGTAACGACGTGAGTTTTGCACAAAAGTTTAGTTGTAACGTAATTTCCATAGTAATTGATCATTTAAACCCAATGTTTAATTTTTTTTGGATACTTAGTGCTAATTTGATTTCTTTTTTTTTTAGAGACAATCTATGTAGGAATCGAACCTACATCCCTTATGCATTTGCATAATGCTCTACCACTTGAGCTAATAGGTTTTACCATACATTGTAAAAAAAAAAAAAATTAGAGTACTCCAATTTGAAATTTAACCTATACTATGCTTTAAATTCTCTTCCTATGTTCTAAAATATGTTTATTTTTTTTTCCTATGTTCTAATTATTTTTTGTCTATGTTCTAAATTTTTATATTATGTCTAAATTATTTTCTCTGTTCTAAACAGATACTCCAATTTTATGTTCCCTATGAACTAAACCTATGATTTAAAAATTTTCTTATGTTCTAAATTTTTTTTCCTATGTTTGAAATCTTTTTTCTTACATTCTAAATTTTTCAGCCTATGTTCTAAATTTTTTTTCTATGTTCCAAATTTATATGTTTTAACTTTTTTTTTCTATATGTTCTAAAATTTTTCTCATGTTCTAAATTTTTTTTCCCATGTTCTAAATTTTTTTTATGTTCTAAGTTTTTTTCTCTATGTTCTAAATTTTTTTCTTATATGTTCTAAATTTTTCTGTATGTTCTAAATTTTTTTTGGATGTTCTAAATTTTTCTGTATGTTCTAAATTTTTTTTGCCCATCCCCAACACGCCACCTCAAACCCTGCTGCACAACCCACTTCGCCCCCCAAATACCACGCCAAGTGTAGCTAGGAGTAGACCCAAGCTCCGATCCCAAATAGTCCCCTTGAGCATAATACCGTGCCTTAAAAATACGAGCCACCAAGCTATCAGGATTTTGTAGGATTATTATTATTATTATTATTATTATTATTATCGTCGTTGTAATAAGAGCTTATAAAAAAATGAAATTTGGCTTTATTATATCATTAGCAATATCATTAGACATAAACTAAACTGAACTGAATTTCAACGTATGAGAACAGGCCCTAAGAGAAAAGTGATGGAAGTATAACACAATAACATAGTGTTATCATGAATTGGATTGATGATGATTTTTTAAATCGAAATTGATGCTTTTGACAAGTTTTCTCTTAGCTAGGATAACACTACCCTTCTTGAACTTAAAGTACAGTGCACCCATTTCACTATTTTTCGCCATTTATAAAGACAAAATAACAATTAAGAAGTACGGACTCTACTAATTTTGACAAATAAATAAAGAAAAAAAAAGGAAAAAAAAAAAAAAAACTAACTTAGGTAAAGTGAATGAAGGAAAACGTTGAAATATTAAGTGGTAATTAAAGGCCTGTTCTGATTTACTGAACTAAGCTGAACTGAAACTGATTGGAGCTGAACTGAGCTGAACTGAAACTGAAAATGATTGGAGCTGAACTGAGTTGAATTGAAATGAATATTTTATGAGAGAAGGAAATTAGAAACTTAACTGAACCGAATTAAATTGAACTGATTTGAGCTAAACTGAACTGAAATAAAATTAAGCTGAATATAGCATACCCTAAATAAGGGTGCGATAAAGCCTTATTATGGGGCCAATGAGGGAGGAAGATATCAATATATGTGTGTTCTTTTTTATAGATGTCAAAATCACAAGAAAAGGAGAGGAGTATCTCAACGGGAGTATCTTAACTTGTCATGTGTATTCTTTGTTACTCCATCTGCCTCATTTGTTTCTTCATAGGTAAAATATGCTTTATTGAAGGCTGAACTACAATATTACGGGGGGCGTTTGGTTAGT